CACAATAATTCTAAGTATGATAAAATTGCAACTGGAAGCATTTTTTTGTTTGGTTTCTTTTAAGCAAGTGGCAATTTCTACAAAACTGGCCATAAATGTGTGTACCACACGAGGTGGTACAGATACTTTAGCAGCAAGGCAAAAATGAAAGACAACCACATTTTCATTTGCACTGTAACTGCACCACGGAAAATAAAAACTGAACAAAATATTTTGATCCTTTACCATTTCTCCCAAATTACATCCTTCTACGCGATTTTATGACATTATAGGTGTAAAAGGTATGTTGCAATTAAGAAAAAGAATCTGATGGACTACTTGGAGACATTTAAAAACTGTGAAAATATTCTCTTTATTATTATTTCAGCTGTCGGGTCAATGACTTGATTTAATCTTTACAGTCCTGTGTGCAGAAAGCTAGTGTTTCTAGCCAAAACAACCGTAATGTAATCTTTCATCAACTTCAATGGAAATAACAAACCTGAAAAGCACCGTCCTGACATGAAACCGCATGAGTAGGTCTCAAAAACCTTCTCATCTCATTCTCTCATACCCTTCAGCACAAATCATGCTTCAGTGAAGCTGTCGAATGTCTTTACTGTAAATCGTTTCGCTGGGTGTTGAAGAAATGAACAGATCAGGGATATGACCTACATTCAGACTAATAAACTTCCTTTATTTCAACTACAAAGTTTGCCGCATCACGGTACATAATTATTCAAATTTAGAACTCCATTTAAGCTGATGTGAATGTCAGCAAGAATCAAAGGAAAGGTGTACAGAACAGGAGTGAGAGCAGCTATGATGTATGGGTTAGAGACTGCGGCAGTGAGGAAGAGACAAGAGGCAGAGATGAGGATGTTGAGGTTCAGTTTAGGAGTGACGAGGATGGACAAGATTAGGAACGAGCACATCAGAGGGACAGCTCAGGTTGGTTGTTTTGGAGACAAAGTCAGAGAGGCCAGATTGAGATGGTTTGGACATGTGCAGAGGAGGGATAGTGGTTATATTGGTAGAAGGATGTTGGAGATGGAGCTGCCAGGAAAGAGGTCAAGAGGAAGACCAAAGACGAGATGTATGGATGTGCTGAAAGAGGACATGAAGGTAGTTGGTGCAAGAGTAGAGGATACTGAGGACAGAGTTAGGTGGAAACCCTAAACTGGAAACAAGCCGAAAGGAAAAGAAGAAAGAAGCATTTAAGCTGATGTGAATGTAGCGGCTGTAACTTAAAGGGTTCTGTTCCACCTTTGCAAACATGTCTCATCATTAGCTCAAATATTCGCTGCTGCACACGCTAATGATGCGGTGCCACTGAACCGCGTTTAAAGGTGCTCTCTAAACCCTCCAGCACAAAGCTCGTGCTTACTGCAACTGAAACATTTACATCGTTCAGTTTCTTTGACGTTCAAGCATTTAATTTGAATTGGATGGAAATGACAAAGCCATTAATAAACGAATAATTATTTGAACCTGATTCTGAATATTTGCACAATATTAAAGAAATGTAAACAGTGAGCAACTTAAACTAAGGGAATATGCTTATCATAATATAGATGTATGTTCATTTGTTTGTTTGTTTTTTAAACATAAAAAGAACTTCGCATTTAATGTTTTACTTTAAAAGTGTGAGATGGGTTCGTCTCTCAAAATCTGCTAATTGAAGAATTGTTGGGTGACTCTTATTATATTTTTCTATTCATAATGTGACCTTCCTGTATAGGTGAGGGTGCAGTGGTGGTGCTATCTGAGAACCTTCCCATTGGTATGACAATGCTATGAAACACAAAACCGAGATATTGGAGTTGGTCAAGGGGATGTAAATTAACAAAATTGAATTCTGGGGCCTTTTTCGAAGTTTTTATTACTTTACAATTTTCTCTAGTAAATACATTTTAGAACAGTTTTTGTGAGGCTTGATATCATTTTTAGTACAACCCCAGATTTAAATTTTTCTATATTAATGTACGCAATAATTCCCCCAACGAGCATGAAATTGTAAAAAAAAAAAAATTAGACTGTTACATTTTGTAAATTTTTTACTGCAAAAAATTGAAAACGAACAGCTTTTATGTTTTATAACAAAAATCAAGTGTTTTATATACCTATATACCTTAGACAAACCTTAGACTCTTCAATCTTATACACAGTTCCAGACACTTTTTCAGCTTTTTTTTTGTGGCAGAACTTTAAAAAACACAAACCATTTCACAGGTTATCCCTTCTTTTGACCCCTAGATGGCACTGATTTTTTTTTTAAGAAACTGAAAGACAATTGTGCATTTTCTCACATTTTACCAAAAATATCCAAACTAATAACCTTTTTGAAACCTACACATTGGTGCATGCTGAGACTTCTAAGGGTTATGGTCCTGGAGTAGTCACGGAAAAAGACCCTAGATGCACGGCTACAGTAAATGTGTAGAGGGAAGATAGTTCACCCTAAATCCGAGCCAAAAAAAAACTTTGAGAAATGTTTGTAGTGTTGTGACCAAAATAATTGAAGGCTTTCAATCAAAGCGTACCAGAGATCAAAGATTAATCACTGGGATTTTGTCCCCTCTTCGTAGATACATAGTAACCCTAACCTTCAGCTCCCTCCACAGGTTTTCTAAGAAACTATGAGCTGGCTAGATCATCCGATGGCCCTGTTTTGGGCCATTGTCATGCTGAAATACCAATTACTCCCCCTCAGCCCAATGCATAGCATTGCCACACATGTTATACATATATAAAAGACCCCTGGAATCCAGAAATCGGTGGCGTTCACTACAGAAACCCACTTTCCATTAGCTCCATTAGCTGATTGTTTCTGTGTTTGAGGCAAAGATTCATAAACTTCCTTCTCTCAAAGCAATTTAAAACTTCTATATTTTGAGACGCTCTTCTGTTCAGTATTTCCGATGGCAAAGGGAAGTTTCGTTGTTGGCTTGAAGTGATATCATCTGCTCTCTCGCCATCCCCTCTCATGTGTCTCCAGGGCTCAAAATTTGAGAAGCAGAGCAGCGTTTCTGATGGCGACTATGACAACACTGTCAACGAATCCGCCACGGAGGATCCTAGGTAGGTGTGGGATTTGTGATTATCTTCCTGCGCAGATTAACCTTGTATCAATCAGCGCTCTTCCTTCCTTCCGCATCCTAGTTCTGCCCGGAGGAGCCGCTTGCGCAGCAGAGACAGCAGCTCAATTCCTGAGCTGGACGATCACCAGTCTGACCCCGACCCCAGTCTGCCCAGCACTGAAGATGTCATCCGAAAAACGGAGCAGATCACCAAGAACATTCAAGATCTGCTGAGGGCTGCCCAGGACAATAAGCACGAGAGGTGAGGAGACCTCTCCCCATCGTTCAACAGACACATGTAAAGGGACTTATTTTTTTCACATGAAACAGCCGTCCATCCATCCATCCGTCCGTCCATCCGATTTCAACTCTAGGAGTCCATCCATCCGATCTGAATTCTGGGAATCCATCCATCATTCCAGAGATCCATCCATCTATACATCCATCTGATTCCTATTCAGGGAATCTCTTCATTTAATTTAATTTCTATTCTGGGAGTCCATCCATCCATTTTTTTTCAGTTCTGGGATTCCATTCATTCATCCATACTTTCTTTATTCTGGGAATCCATCCATCCATCTATACATACAGCCATCCATCTGGTTTCTATTTTGGGAACCGATCCGTCCATCCGTTTCATTTCAAATCTGGGAATCCATGCATTTCTTTTTCAGGTCTGGAAGTTCATCAATCCATCCATTCAGTTTCAGTTCTGGTCATCCATCCATCCGTTTTCTATTCCGATAACCAATTTATCTATTTAAATTCCGGGAATCAATCCACTCATCCCTCCTTTTCATTTTGAGTTCTGGAAGTACATCCATCCATCCATCCATTGAGTTTCAATTCTGGGAGGCCATCCGTCCCATGTTCAACCATCAGCTCGATTTCAATTATGAAAAACAAATCCATCCATTTCAATTCAATTCTGGGATTTCATCCATCCATTCTTTTTTCAGGTCTGGAAGTTCATCAATCCATCCATTCGATTTCCATCCTTCCATTGAGTTTCAATTCTGGCCGTTTGATTTCTATACTGGGAATCCATCCATTTTTGATTTTCAGTTCTGGAAGTCCATCCATTTGACATCCATCTGTCTATCCATCCATCAATTCTGGGAGGCCATCCATCCGATGTCCAATATCAATCCTGGGAATCCGTCCATTCGATATCCTTCCATCCATTCATTCAGTTTCAATTCTGGGAGTCCTTCCATCCCATTTCAATTCTGGTCATCTAACCATCCATCCGTCGTCAATTCTGGCAGTCCATCCATCCACCCATCCATCAATCCCAATCCAGGGAGTCTATCCAACCTTTCGAGGTGGATGCTCAAATGGCGTTAGACAATCATGGATTCTGCATCACAGTCCTCCGCAAGATGAACTTGGGATCAACATTTTCAGTCTAAAATATTTAAAATTCGAAACGCGAGATCGAATTCCGAACTCGTTGTCTTTCCCATTCCACCCCATTCTCTCTTCTCCTGATTTCCTGTCACTCTCCACTGTCCTATCCGTTAAAAAAAGAAAAAAATCAAAAATAATCTTTAAAATATTTAAATCTCTGCTTTGTTAACTTTGTCAGAGCAAATGTCGTTCTTTTTACATTTTACAAGAGATATTTCAGCTGAATGAGGAAAGTGACAAACTTTGATATTATCTGCAAGACAACAGGAAAATAAAGATAAATATCATAAGTAACAATCTGACGAGATGATCAACGATGCAAAAGTTTCTTCTTCCTCGTCGAAAAAGAGTACCCACATCAAGGGCACAGGGTAAGTCCTCGAATCCGGGAGCAGCACAGACCTTCTGGAAATGAGTGTGTATTGTGATGTCTGTAGTCTTCTGGTTTTTATATTTACATTTCTGCATTTGGCAGACACTTTTTTTATCCAAAGCAACTTCCGTTTGAAAGAATGAACACATTTTTTGCCAGTTCCCTGAGTTTTCAACCCACAACCTTTGCGTTATTAGCAGAAATCTCTACCAACTGAGCCACAGGAAGGTTATATCTTTATCATTTAGTCTTTTAACCTCTTAAGCCCGAGAGTCCCCGGTACCGGGGACTTGCCCCTTGTGCGTTACATTTTCACTCATAGCTCACTAACCCTGAGAATAACCCACACATATTAAATACTGTTGTGTTCAGCGGAAACTCCTCTAAACACGTATCTAATTCAATTTCATATCCGTTAACCACAGCTCGAGCGCCATGCAAATAAACAACAACATGTCCGGAGTATAATTCATGACCACGTTTTTGTTTATGTGCGATATGTATCCACAATATAAACGGAAACACCCAAACCATTACATTAAATGAAAGCTAACAACCACCTGAATTCAGTGATATGCAACTCATTAACATTGCATGAAGTATTTCAGAGCAGGGAGCGAAAGTTCCCCGAAAAAGCGCCAGCAAAAACCAAGCAAGCATGTAAATCTTGTCTTACCTTTGCTGTTTTTTCAACAAAAAGTTATTTCCATAGCGATAAAAGTCCGTTTGTTGTTATGTCCGGTCGATAGCTTCGCGGAAACTCCGTTTTGGATTTTTTCTGTTGCTCTTGTGCTCTCATAACGTCACCAAATATGGAATGACTCCCCGTGCGTAAGAGGTGGTCTCTCCACGCTGCGCGTCGTGTGATTCGTCGGCGATCCCGTCAGTCTCAACATGGTTGAGCTCATTGGCTTCCATAGAATCAGAGCTTTTCAGCGATATATAGAGCTCCCGGATTGGACAGATGGTCGGGGGGTAGGGACACGCAGAAGCTCGACGTCAAAAGCGTTTGTGAATGAAAGGTTCCCAAAAGCGCAGCAAGATGGGGTAAATGAGCTTCCACACCCCTTTTACAGCGTTTCTTTAGGAGTTTTTTTTGCTGAAATCATGTCCCGTAAGCAAGAAAAGAAGACTATGAACGTAGCTGAAGCTTTGGACAAGATTTTTTCCATATTTCAATTATTGTGCCAAATTGTGCCAAACTGTGCCAACATGGATTACGCCTGAACTTTGTTCAATCAAAACCTTTACAGAATATTAGTTTCTTGTAGTATGAACACCAAACTTGCTACAGATGTTCTTGACATGTAGTGGTTACAATTGATTGTGTTTATTTGCTTCGTTATAAGTAAAATAAGGAGATATTGGAGGAAACATGTGTTTTTTTTTTAGGCGGAGTTCATTTTTTGGCCATTCCAACATCAATTACTCTTACCCAGTGTTCTTGACTGTCAAATTAACTCATCCACACCACTCCCCAAGAACCTATCTTCATTTTGATACCAAGATTTGCAGTTTAGGCCTTGTAAAAGCTGAGAAATGCCTTAAAAAGTAAAAGTATAGGATTTTCGGAAAATAGGCCTCAGGGCTTAAGAGGTTAAATAATCCACGTCTTTAAACTTTAGTATTTGTAGAATTAGCATGCTTTCGTTTGTATAATAGTTTCCTTTTAAATGTTACTTTTTTTTGCATTTTTGCTTTACTTTCTATCAAGACCTGCTTCAGTATGCCTTACCTTAATCCAGATAAGATAAAAGCAGTAAAATAACAGACTTTCTGAACAAACAAATAAATAAATAGTAGATGAAATTTGAAAGGATGTAGCGGTTGCTGCATTATTGACAATTAACTGGGAACCTGGCAGTTGAACTGTAGCAGGTTTGTGGAGGATTTATAAAAAGCAAAGGTAATTATAACAAAATTATCCATCTGTTTTTAACATAATGGATCCAAACACGTATTTAAAATGATGTGAGTCTTTGTAGCTCCTTAGTATTCGTGTCACCTTCACCATTTGTGGTCAGTCCTGTTGGGTGTCTTCTTCTTCACCAGTGCCCCTTTCGAGCAGAGGGAGAGTGTCCGCAAGCTTAGACACAGTCTCGGGTGTTTCAGCACCCTTGTGCCCTGGGCAGAAAAACCCCCGTCTCCCGTCCAACCCCTCAACAACCCCAGAAATCACAACCACCCTGGCAACCCTGGCTCCTGGTACTCTGGCCTCTGTCCCTGCCTCACAGGCACAGGCATCTCTATCTCGCTCTCTTCAGAACTCACCCACTAACCTTCGGAGGAAATCACAAGCTCGATGACTTTTGGGATTTCTCATGTTGTGTGTTTTACATTTGTATCTTTTGCAGGTGCCCACCCGGGTACAGTTTTCTCTTTTAGGAGGCTTTATACTGACATCTAACATTTCAACTTTGGTGCAAAAAAAAATGGATACAGTGATGAGTGAAGGTAGAAAATGTGAACATTTTGGAATTTAATTTTTTTTTTTTTCCCGAATAACTTGATCTACGTCAAGGATATAAACAGATACGTGTCTAAAATAAAAACACAAAAGATGATATTCTTTGGATGGCTTTCAATACATATCTTCTCTATATACATATCACTCCAGTGGTGGATTTTGGTTTTCTGCAGCAATTATGTTGTGGACATTTTATGACAAATTTATTCAGAAAATAATGAAATGACATACATTTCACATTTTTTTCTTGACACTTCATCACTTCATTTATCAGTGAGTTCTTCTTCAAAAGGCTTTGCCACTGAGATTTACTGCTTAATATCTAAAAATGTACAGTTGTGCTTATAACTCTACATACTTTAGCAGGAATTGCAATTTTATAAAAAAAATATGTATAGATAGATAGATAACACAAATTAAAAGCGTATTTCACTCAAAAGTGGGTGTGAATCCTGAATTTGTGCTCAAGTAAAAAGTGCAAATGAAGAGTAAGAAAAAAAATGTACCATCAAATTATGAAAAATGCACTGAACAAGTTACGAGTTACTTCTGATGTCAGGTTAAACATATGAGCACAACTGTATGTACGATTGTTTTCCAGTTCGTTTTGTGTGGGAGTGCTACTCATATATTTATTGCACAAAAATTCACCCAAAACTAATTGTTGTGATAAAAATATGTACTACATGTGCTGGTCATATATTTAGAACATCTTGAAAAGGTTAATTTATTTGATTAAAAACGTTACTTCTAGCGTGTGCATTCATTCCTCACAAATTTATATATTTCCAATATTTCTGTTTAAGTTTTGTGATTATAACTGACAACTTCTGAAAGCCCCAAATTCAAAATGTCCAAAAAATATATAAAGATTATATCGAAGACACCTGGCTAAACTGTTTTGGGGAAAACTGCTGACCATTGACCAAAAGACGACCATTGACACCTTACACAAGGAGGGGGAGACACATTGCATAAAGGCTGCCTATTCACAGAGCTTTGTGTCCAGAGTACATTAATAGAGAGGTGAAGGGTAAGAAAAAAAAGTGCATGGAATAGGTAAAACTGCACCTTGGAGAGGATTGTGAAACAAAACCCTTTTAAAAATGTGTGGGAGATTTACAAAGAGTGGACTGCAGCTGGAGTCAGTGCTTCAAGAACCACCACCCGCAGACATCTGCAAAACACAGGTTTCAGTTGCCGCATTTCTTGTGTGAAGCCAGAGACCGCTTCAGAAGTTTCTCACCTGAACTAGAAACAAAAAAGACTGGCCAACTGCTCTACCTTCTCTTATGAAAATAATGCTTGCATTTCCTTCGGAAGGTGCCAGAGTCAGGAGGAAGCGAAGAGAGGCAAAGAATCCACTTTGCATGAAACTTTCCACAGTCACTGATTTTTTTTTATTTTATTTTATTTTTTTGTGCGGGCACCATGTCATCTGCTGGTGTTGGTCCACTGTATTTTTTTAAAGTCCAAGACCAACACAGCCATCTACCAGTACGTCATAGAGCGCTTTGTGCTTCTCGCAGCAGACAGACTTTATGGAGATGTTGATTTCATTTTCTAACAAGACTTTGCACCTAAACACACTACCAGTTCTTGGTTTAAGGACCATAGTATCCTCGTTCCTAATTGGCCAGCAGACTTACCGGACCTTTAGTCAATAGAAAATCTGCAGGGAAGCTGAATGCAACCTGGAATCTGAGCAGCGCCACAGACTGATCGACTCCATGCCATGCAATATTGCAAAAGGAGCCAGGAATAAGAGTTGCTCATGCTCATACTTTTCATTTCTTCGTATTGCTTTCTGTGCATCAATCTAATGTTCTGTTCTAATTTCGTGAGGTTTTCATTAGATGTAGGTTATAATCATCACAAGGTAACTAATTTAATCAAATTCCTGCTAGTATATGATCAGCGCCTGTAGTACAGAAAATGAGTGTGGAAAATGTTATTTTTTTTTTTTGCTACTGAAATTGTAATGCAACATCTTTTACTTTCTCCTCCGTTAGCTTTATATCCTGCACAGAAAGAATACATGTGGCTGTGAATGAGATGGCAGCCCTCTTTCCCAAGGTAACGAGACTCTGCTGTTTAGTGCATCATTATTTAAATGTTTGGAGTAAAAATTCTCTTTGGATTTGATATTAACTCATAACTGTATTGATGCAACGGTATGAAAAAGCCAAATGGTATTTATATCATATGAACATATCTAATACTCTCTGTTTATACAGAACAAAGATCATTCAATAATAATTATCTGACAAAAACATTCTATTAATTTTGCCTCGCTACACAAAAAAAAGTTTGTTGATCTCTGAACCAGAAAACATGAATCCCCGTGGTGAGTTTTAGTGGTCACTTAAGGTTTAAAAGGTTGGTTTTGATTAAAATAACATAAATGACATTGTGTAGTGTTGACAGAGGACCAATTTCAAGACTTGCGAAAGGAAAAGTTTCCTGTGGGCGCTAGAGGAATTTTTGCACTCCCATAAGAAAAATGTACATGTTTGGCACAAACTATTGCACTCCCGTGACAAACATCTTTTTGTAAAACATTATATCAAAATTATAGGTTTGGATTCAAGGGAAAAAAAAGAGGGCTAAGGTTCAAACCATCTTTGATGTTTGCTTGTAAATGTGCCGGTTATAGATATTTAATAAGCAAAATGGATTGGTTACTATGTCATTTTTGGTTGCTATAAAGGAGCCTGTGAGATCAAAGTTCCACATGCCAATATGAGTGATGTAAACCAA